TGCCCAGCTAATTTTTGTATTTTTAGTTGAGACAAGGTTCACCATGTTGGCCAGGCTCGTCTTGAACTCCTGGATCTCAGGTGATCCACCTACCTCGGCCTCCCAGAGTGCTGGGGTTACAGGCGTCAGCTACGCGCCCGGCCTTAAAATCTGTTTTATCCCAAGAAAGTTACTCAGTTATGCTAATATTGCTCCATAGTTTCCAGTTCATGGAACTTTATAGTGTTGAAGTGGATACACAACAGAATGTCAACTATAATATTTATAGAACATATTATCGCTATATTAAAAGCAGTTTTTATACATGGCAATTGATATCTAATTATTATCCATTGAACTACAACTTTTGTTATTCTCAAAATGACAATGTGAATACTTTATTTTCCTTTAATGCTTTATGATATTAAATATTTAATCTCTTTACTTCTATTTTACTACTTTATCACTAGTGTTTCCAACTTTTTTTTTTCCACTTATCTTCACAGAGTCAAGTATTTGACATTTCGATTTATTTTGCTCTTAGGCTTTCTAAAAAACAGAAGAGAAAAAGAAACAGAAACCAGCACAGGTATGTTAGAAAGGTTTTGTTAATATTAAATGCCAACGTAAAGTCGCAGCGCTCTTATTTATTCAGTGTCGTCTGTATTAAGGAGAGAGACTTATACTTCATAATTTTATGTTGGTTGTAAGCTTATTAAAAGAATTGGAAATATTTTCCTTTTTAGTGCTTCCCTCCCTTGTTGTAGTTAATAACTAACTTAATTATGACTGCCAGTGTGTTTAACAGGTATGCATGTAGAATTCCCCTGGTATGAATTAGCTGAATTTTCAGTATTAAAAATATGAATACGTCTCACAGAAGGGCTTTTAAGTCAGATAACAATTAAAGTCTTGAAATAGGCAAATCTGGGATTGGTCATTTTTTTATCTAAGTTTTTCTGCAACAACAAAATTGCAAAAGGAACATTTGGTTAGAAACTTGTAATGATTATGAGTCTTGAAAAAAATTTTCTGTTTTTCAGAAGGTTTTAAGTAATTTAAATATTTCACAGCTGAAGTCCAAATTCATTTCTTAAGGACTATTTTTAAATAAAATGATATTATGTTGTTACACCTATAAAAATATGGATATTTTTATATGCCTTTAGTATAATCTAGTTATATTAACTTACATTAAGTATTAAATATTTTTAATAACGCATTAATGGCTTTTTAATAAAACTTTAGATTTGGCTTATTTATCCAATGGTTATAATAATATATTTGATGGTCTTTTAAAAATCAGTTTCCTATTCCAAAAATGATACATGACCATGAGTTAATCACTTAAATAATTGTAATTGGAACTTTTGCTTCAGTTAATAAAGACCACATAGCAAAATGTTGTTCTTTATAAATTGATGCCTTACATCATCCATCCAAACACTTAAATTGATTAGTTTGGAACACTCTCTTTGCGTTGTGGAGTTGGAGGTTGCACTGAGCTGAGATTGGGCCACTGCACTCCAGCCTGGGCGACAGAGCAATTCTACATCTAAAAAAAACAAAAAACAAAAAACAAAAACCTTTAAATGCAATCTCTGAATGTGATAAGTATTTCTAGTGACATTTAATATTTAGAAGTACTTCTGTTTTGGTGCATCTTCCATTTCTTCCTCAGAATTGTCATCTAATGGACTTTCATCAATCTGAGGTCTTGAAAAATTTTCTTCCTCCTCCTCCAGCTGTTGTTTTAGCAAGGCCACCATTTCCCGATGCTTCTTTGACTTCTCGTGATTTTTCATGCTGAAAGAGCAATCTGACATGAGCAGCTGCACTAAAATTAGTTCAGGTGTCCAGATAATGTTGCTGGATAACTGCAACCAAGATAAAATTTGCTTTTTTCCCACTAAGCAAAACGTTTATGATTTTATTTTATTTATTTACTTTAAATTTTTTTCTTTTTTTAATTTGTTCATGATTTTATACAGAGAAACAGAACGTGTCAGGATTCCTCCGGTAGTAAGCACACTGGAAGCTCATGGCCATGCTCTTTCTTCTAGTACCACAGCTTCCCCTGTCTTTCTCTGTCCTTTTATCTACATACATTTTCTTCCTTTCTGGGGATGGGGGAATGTTGGCAGGGGGAGGTTTGGCCAAATTCTCTATTTATTATTTTGATTTTTCAGTTCTTAAAGCTTCCTTCATTGTTTCCTTTTAATTGCTAAGTATTTGCTAAGTGTTTTTACATTCCAGGCCATCCCACAGACTTGGAGGGATCACTGGGAAATTAGAAAACACACATTCTAATGTTAAAAGGAAGAGGCCCCTGGACTAGAGAAATGGTGGTGGGAGGGCTTGAAATACAAGAGCAGTTTACTGCTTCTTGCTTTTTCACCAGCTGCTTTTCACCTTCTCAGGAGAGGTCTCCTTCCTCACTCTCACCACCGTAATGTAAGTTTAGACACATCTCTACCCCTCTGTTCAAAACCTTGCTGGCAATGTCTGTCTTAGCACACCTACAGGCAGCTAACAAGCATTCCACAAAACAGAGTTGACAACATAAGCTACAAGAGTTATATCAACTAAAAAGGAGGAACCTTTGCCAACTATCTACTTCCCCTCATCTGTTTAGGCTTTTGGTATTATAGTTTTAGTTGCTATTTTTCTTTCCCACTAAAATTCTCCCTGAGACCAAGCTGCCCTGGAGATAGATACTGGAAGATCTTGTGTCTGAAAGTAAGTCCTCCAAAAAAGATAGAGGCACATGTCAAAAGGACACAAAAACTGGCTTGAAGGAATGCTCACTAACCAATTCTGGAAAAATTTGAGCAAGAAAAGGTCGGTAATGAATTATACAACACTGAAAAAAATTCATAAATTCAAACT